ACAGATCCTCATTTCACTTATATGAAATTTATGGCTTACAGCTTTTATTTTTAGGCCCTGCTGTGCAATAATAGCTTTTATTTTCGATCCATCCTACTACAGTATTGCCGAAGACATTTTATGTAGCAATTAAGAGTTTTCCAGGTAGCATTGCATTGGGATGCAAGCTCTAGAAGAGTTGCTAAAAAGTGGCTTAACTAATTAGGGTTTTATTTGTCTAATAAGGTTTAGAGTGGGCTGCACAAGACTCGTGTGGCAGCTGTAAGATGTCATCAAGAACCCAGGTTCCTGTCATTCTGCTTGACCACCGCCATTCTTGCATATGGTGTTGGTTTTCACAATTGCCAAATGCTTTCTGCACCTCCGGGCACCACGGGTGCATTTCTGCAAGAGAGAAGGGAGAAGAGTGACCAGGTGCAAAATGGGCTTTGTCTTTTCATTCATTAGGTGGAGCCTTCCCAAGGAGCAGACGCCTCACATCTCACTGGCCAGCACTGTGATCACCCGTAGCTGCAGAGGAGCTGGCTCAACAAGTTTTTATAGCTGAGCGCATTGCTTTCTAAAACAAAATCAGGCTTCGGTTATTAAGAAAGAAAGGGAGATGGGCTACTGGATAAATAGCGTTATCTGCCATGGCTTCTAAGTGTGTTTGAAGGAAAAAAAACAGTCACGTGAGTTACAGGTACCGTCACGCATGGCTAAATCGACATGGGTGAAGGCCTTGACTGTCGCCCCACAATTTACTTCTCTTCCACAAATTTCTCTCCCCAGACTTCTTTTGATATTGATTGCAAGGTGCATTTTGTTTCAGAACGCTTGAAACGTAAATAAAACTCTTTGTGTCAAGGAAGTGACGGTATATGTTATTGTTATCTGAACCCTGGGTTTATGCCCGCCTGTGCAGTGCCCCTGACGGCTTCCTCTTGCCACGAGGGAAGCCCTTCCGTTACCTACGACCCTGGCTTCTCCCAGGTCCCACCTCCTGCGCTGGTCTGTCCCTGCCGCTCATTCCTGGGCTTCCACAGTTCCAGCCCTGGTCACCTGGGAAATCTCAAAACAGCCCTGCTGCCATGACTCATCTTCCTTCCTGAGGCTAATGTCACAAACATCCCCTTGAAACTTCCTTCTCTGGAGTGCAATTTCTCCCCTTTGTTTATTTGGGTGACCTGCTATCGTATTAATTTTCTGTGGCCTTAGCTCTTTTTTTTTTTTAATTTTTAAAAATTTTGAACATGTGCTAAATTTATTTCTAAACTTCAACAAAAGCAGAGCAAAATATGATAATTTGATTCACCTTGTCTCAAAAAAGTGAACTTTTCCCTGACACTGCATTCTGAAAGATTTTTTTTAATGTGATGTCAAATAACAAATTCAACAATAATAAAGACGTTATACAGCACTGTTAAGGTGCCAGGCAATAAATATTGTAAGCTACACATAATTTATCTATAACCCTCACAATAATCCAATAAAGCAGGTAATACTATTATTCCCATTTTAAAGATGGAAAAACTGAGGCATAGAGAGATTAAGTAGCTTGCTCAAACTCACCCAGTAAATAAGTGGGGGAACAAGGATTTGTAGCTCTTTTTTTTTTTTCTTTTCTTTTTAATCATCTGGCCTTTCTTCTAAGTGTAAGGAGTCAGGGAGGCCAGCAAGTGACGAAACGCTCCAAGTCCAGCTTCATGTCCTGCTGATTTATACGAAATGCCCCTGGTCTCTATGGCCATGGACTACTGCCCCCCTCCAGGTTGTTTTCTATGGGAGGCTTTCTTTCTCTCTTAAATTTCCTCTCTTTAATCTTTTGAATGTTGACACATTCACACTTTTCCAAAAGGTTTACAAACATAGAGTGAAAACTCTTGCTGTCACTTTGTCCCCATCCTCCAGTTCCCACTCACCCCCCAGGCAACCGCTTTTGTTAGTTTCTTGTATAAACCTTCAAGCATTTTTCTAAAAAATGAAAATACAAGTAAATACAAAAGTGCTCCTACTTTTCTCCTTATTTTTTTTTTTTTAATGTGCCTAGCCTACACACAGTTCTGCTTTTTTTTTTTTCCGTGTATACATCTTGGAGACCTTTTCATAGCAGTGTTAACAGTACTTACAGAATTTCTCCCTTTTTCTTTTTAAGCTGCATAGTATTAAAGTGATCTCTTTGAAACACAAAGCTGGTCATGCCTCTCCTGCTTTCCTCTTAAAATACAGATATAATTAGTTACATTTCACTCCTCACGCTACCATCAGCCATCACCAGTGTCGGTGAGGAACTGTCCTTTGCTTCCTGCGCGTTGATAGGGTATAATGATGCATTTGACGTTTTTTCTTAAAACAGCGACCATTTTTTCCCAGTGTTATTAAGATATAATTGACATACAACACTTGTGTAAGTTTAAGGTGTACAGCATAATGATTTGATGTATGTATATATTGTGAATCGATTACCACAATTAGTTTATTAACATCCATCACCTCACGTCATTTGAATTTTAATATTCTACGATGTAACTTTCAAATATTGGCTATAAGGAGGAGGGGTGTTGAGACACGGACACTCTTAGACTAATGGTAATGTAAATTGAGGTGGCCTTGATGAAAGACAGTTTTTACCCTGAGTCCTTCAGGAGTCTGAGAAATAGCTCTGCCCTTTCACCCGGGCTTCATTCACAGGGCTTTGTCCTAAAGTAGTCTTGAGCGATACCATCAAAGATATATAAAGAAGATATTATTTCTAGTGGTGAAACCTACAAGCATGCCAAGTATTCAACAATAGAGTAATAGTTAACTGTGCATCTACATGATGGAATTGCCAGGAAGATATTAAAATTCATACTTCTGAAAAATTTTCAATGACAGAGGGCAGTGGTCATGATACATTTATTGTTCAGTGAAGGGGGCAAGGTGCAGTTTTTTACCAGGTGTGATTGTGTGAAAGGAAAGACCAGGTGAGCTGTAGGGGATTATAGTCCGGCAATAAATACCCTGTGTGTGTGTGTATGTGTATGTTGTCCCTGTGTGTTTATGGCCAGGAGGTAAGTGTGTGTTAAGGCCAGGAGGGGGAGTAAAGAAGCTGTGTACATGTCTTGATTTATCCTCATATTGAGCCTTTAAGTACACACATTTTGGAGTCATGGTGGACGTTATATGTCTGTACATTATATATGGAAAACCAAGGTTTGACTATGGATAAGTCCCATTTTTGATCATGCTCACGAACAGTTGAAATGTGCTGGGTATGTAGAGCTCCATATATGGACATTAAATCCAGACCCTTTCCTCTATTTAAATTTTGGCAGTGGCTGTCTGGATAGTAGGATTGTAGGTTAGCTTTTTGTTTGCTTTACAAAAGCCAGTGGGGACCCACTAATGAAGGATTTTAGGGGGCTTCCCTGGTGGCGCAGTGGTTGAGAGTCCGCCTGCCGATGCAGGGGATGCGGGTTCGTGCCCCGGTCCGGGAAGATCCCACATGCCGCGGAGTGGCTGGGCCCATGAGCCATGGCCGCTGAGCCTGTGCGTCCGGACCCTGTGCTCCGCAACGGGAGAGGCCACAACAGTGAGAGGCCTGCGTACCGGGAAAAAAAAAAAAAAATAGAAGGATTTTAGGACAGTGACATGATTGTCTTGACTTGGATCAAAATAGGTGAACGCTTTCAACCTCAGGGTCGATAAACTCTACCTGGTAGAGTTGTAAGGGAAAATTAAGTAGGATGGATGATACTTCTTTGCATACCGAAGTTACAAAATAATATATGTTCTGAAATTCTATGAGTGAGGAGAAAAAGTTGACTTTTTCAGACATGAGAAGTGGCTTAATTCAAGAAATGGAGATAATATCATTTTCAACTTGGATTTACAACCATACAGTAATTCTCTCCTTTTATAATATTACTGTGCTTAAAAGATGTCCTTTCTTGCCAGCCTTTTATTTCTGTCCATACTAACTGTGCCATCGCGTCATTAGCCATTCATAGACTTGAACCCAGTGATCAGAGACACATGTCACTGAGGCTTTTGGGGAGCAGTCGGATTGAGGTGGGGTGGAGGAGATTGGTTGGGACAATCCGTCTGTGAAAGTTTGTTCTTCAGCATTTTATTTTCTTTGTCCAGAGGTCTTTCTAGCTGCTTTCACTTCTCAAAATGATTCTTTTCTTTGGCCATTATAACATTTACTTCACCACTTAAGTTTGTTGTTTTTGCAGATTTCCCAGGATCGTTCAGAAAAAGCACACTTGTTTTCTCAGGTTTTACATGCTGTGGTTAAGATACCTGAATCTTGTCACCGCATCTCAATGAGTTCATACGTACCTTCAGTTAAGAAGATTGGTAACATCTGGAAAACCTGCAGATGTGTTTGCAGCTCTTCAAGAGCATACCTGACCCCTAGTGACTGGAGAAGGAAAGATGAAACATCAGGGGAACAAGAAGGGTTAAGAAAGAGAGTTCAAAGTAGGATGGTGCTTGTTGTTTACTCTCCCCTTGGAAGTGGAGAACGTTTTACTCTTGTGAATTGATGAAAGGATGCTCTCATGACAGTGGCTACAGCTGTGGCATATCTGAAAGAGGCTGCTGAGGGGAATAAAACTGTTGCCGCTCCCAGGAATCAATGAAGTGTCGACATCTCAGATGGGCTGTCTGTGGTTTTCAATTGGTTGGGGACAGACAGGGCTTTCGTGACTGTAAATGTCAACTGCTGGGGCTGGGAGTGGGTAGTTATGGCCCCCTGAGAACTAAGTGAATCTCCCACCTCAGACCTCGTCTGTCCCTCCCAGACTGGCAGAGTTGTGCCCCAGAATTCTTGGAGAAATCACTGTGTCAGCACTTGCTGAGACGTCTGCTGGATCACCAGGGAGTGGACAGTGCGTGCCGTCTGCAAAAATCACCTCTTTTTTTTTAGCTCAGTGGCCTCTGACGATGAACACTCAAATCTAGTTCAAATTGGAAATATTTCCACATGGTTTTGGAGGAGCATTTCTCCTTATGTGTTTGTCTTCTCTCTGCAGATAAAGAAGAAGCAGCAGGATGTGGTTAGATTTCTGGAAGCCAACAAGATAGAGTTTGAGGAGGTGGACATCACGATGTCAGAAGAGCAGAGGCAGTGGATGTACAAGAACATCCCCCTGGAGAAGAAGCCTGCCCAGGGCAACCCTCTGCCACCTCAGATATTTAATGGTAACCGATACTGTGGAGTAAGTATCAAATGATTGTTATCACATCATTTCTTTGCCTGATTCAAAACAGAGTCATCTGGGGCTTCCCCAGTGGCGCAGTGGTTGAGAGTCTGCCTGCTGACGCAGGGGACACGGGTTCGTGCCCCGGTCCGGGAAGATCCCACATGCCACGGAGTGGCTGGGCCCGTGAGCCATGGCCGCTGAGCCTGCGCGTCCGGATCCTGTGCTCCGCAACGGGAGAGGCCACAACAGTGAGAGGCCCACGTACCGCAAAAAACAAAAACAAAAACAAAAAAAACCCAGAATTATCTGGAGTGCAGTTGGGTTTTTTTCAACGCAGACTGACCTCCTTACCTAGTACCTAGTCAGTTCCACAAGTCTAACAGAGGGTGAATTCGAGAGGGTGTATGAGTCCAAGGTCACAGACCGTGCCTTTCTGTTTGCTTTGGGAAAAGGGGGTGGGAAGGGAAGCTGCGTACCTGTGTGTTTACCGTGTTCTACATTTGAAAGCGTATTTTTTTATTAATACATTTTGGGGGGGGCAGAGGGGAAGCGGTAACTATTCTTGAATCTTTATCTCTCTGTAGTGTAAAAAAACTGCTAATGGCTGATTATAAACCAGAGTTTCACTTTTTTATGATCATGAGCCAACTGGATCGTTATGAACAACTAAAATACATCAGATGCCTTCCTGCTGCAGGTGGCATTGAGAAGATGAAGCCGCTTTCGACTAATTATTTTCCTTCTCACTTCTTAGGTTAAGAAAAAAACATTGAGAAATGTCTCTCTAATGAGTCGTTAGGATTTGCTTTCTGCCGTAGCTTTAAGTATGTAAGTCAGTGTTTATTGTGAGACCTGAACTGCAGTCCTTTAAGGATGGCCAGGAGAAGGGGAAGGGGCTACAGTGCAGAGGTGCTCAAGGTGAAATAAATAACTGGGTGCTCGTTAGGGTGGAGAAAAGGGATAACAGTGAAACAGTTCTCCAAGAACATGAGGCAGAATGAAATGCTGAAACATAAAGCCATAAAGATCATGCCCAGCGTTTTTACATGTCATGAAGAGAAAACCGAACCTGGCACTAGACACAGATTTGAGTTCTAGTACTACTTTATGTTGGCTTGACACCTTTGGAAAGTCACATATCTCTTTATATCTCAATTTTCTCATCTTTAGCAAAGGACGGTAATATCTATCTCACTTCCCAGGATATTTGTCACTGTTTCTAAAGTACTCCTAAAACTCTATACCCACCCAAACTACCATTCAACTGTAAGACCAGAATAAAGGCATTTTCACAGCCGCCAAGTCTGAGGAACAGAGAACCAATGGATTTTTGTTTTAAGTTTTCTAGCACTGTTTGACTGATAGCTTTATTTTGAACTGTACAGTTTACACACATCTTCATCTATTATCTTATTTTGGTCTGCAGGCACAAAAGTACATTTTCTAGACTCTGTAATCATGAATGGAATACACTCTTGGTAACCATATACTTTCCCTAATATGAGATCATGATGTAAAAAAATTCCACAAAAATAATAACCTTTATTATATAATAATGCAGCTTATTTCTTGTTGATGCTGCCTCTGCAGACACTGAGGTTTGACCATCCTCTGCTCTTGACTTCCCTCTCCATTGCTCTACCCACTTCCTGCATACATGGTTCAGGGCTGTTGACATCTCCTAAGTTTATTTTAAAAGTGGAGTTGTTGCTGTTTTTTTTTTTAGTCCTTGTTGTTTGATAGACCTCTCAAGAGGAAGGACGCAGAGACATCTTTGCTCTATCACCATAAAAGCCGAAGTCTTCAGAGCCCTTTGAGTAGAAGAATGTATTCAATGAATAAAAAAGAACGTGATGTGAAATAAAGTTAATTCCTTCCCTTTATTTCCACCTCTTTATGACTTTCTAAATCTCTGTGTATCTTTGCCTTATAGAGTCTATGGAAGTTTTTTCAGGTAGACTGGGAGCTGGCTAGAGGCGTCCATATTGATTAAACTGTGCTAGGTAAATGGCTGCTTGAGCAGTGTCAGTCCCATAGCAGTTGTGACAGCAGTGCTGGTGTATTCATTCCGTCTTTATAGTCTGTTCTGGCAGGAGTTTTGAAGACAGTGTCTGCTCTTACCAAGGTCAAATAAATTCGATCTTGACAAAAAGCAAAAACATCTGAGGGCAATGAATCATGGCCTCGTGCATCGCACCTGCTTCTGTGCACCTTGCAGTGCCCGGTAATGGTTTATGAGTGGTCGTATCTGGTTGCATAACCTGTGGAAATCTGCCATATTGCAAGTGACAGGATCCAGTAAGCATGAAGATTCTCCTGTTTCCTGGAATTGGCTGGAAACTTATTACTTCGTTTTAAACTGGATGAGCTAGGCATGTGAGACATACACAGCTGCTGAGCTGCTTGCTAACCAGTGTGGACAACTGCCTTCTCTCTCTCCTTTAGCACATGAAAATCCTGCCTATTGGGAGGAATTCCCCACCGAATAGAAGCTCCCTGGCGTGTCCAATCAGTTCTTCCCACCCCAGATTTGGACACTGAGGAAATGATGCCGAAACACAGCATCAGTTGGAGGTGGCTCAGTGAGTGTCCAGGGGTGATGGGGCCAGGCAGAGCCTGGTGGCTGGACACCATACGGCTGGTGTCCTAAGGAGGCTGATCCTGGGGTGTGGCCTAGGTGTGTTCTTGGTTCCCCAGACATGGAAGTTCCTCCTATTTTCTGAACTGGTCCTCCAGGCTTAACGTGGATTCTGTGAGCTCCCCGCTATACCTTCATACAGTCTTTTCCTTTTAAGTTGCCAGTGTCTATTTCAGTTGTTTGTAGGCAAGAACCCTTCTTGGGGCAGACTGGTTGTTCTTGCTGTTTCCCTGAAGTGTCCTACCATAAGCACGATTCTTCTCTGGAAATGGGTTCCTAAAGGTCAACATCCCAACGCCTACAGGCTTTTCTCATTTTAGAAAGCTCAGATCCTCACGTTCAAGGTTTAAACTCTGTTCTCTCTGTGGAACTGGCATGTGTGGAATGCACTAGAAATAAAAACACACATATCTACACAAAAGGAAAACATTTCCTCCCGTTTCTTTTCTCCCTCCCCATTCAGAAGGAAAAAAAAATTTTGGATTTCTTTATATTTTTTATTGAAATTTTTTTATTGTGGTAAAAACATACATCATAAAATTTATCATCTTAACCACTATTAAGTGTACGGTTGAGTAATGTTAAGTGTGTTCACATTGCTGTAAAACAGGTCCCCAGAACTTTTTCATCTTGCAGAACTGAGACTCTATACCCATTAAATAACTCGTTTGTCCCCTCCCCCCACCCCACTCCCCCGATAACCATCGTTCTACTTTCTATATCTATGAATTTGACTACTTTAGAGACCTCATAAAAGTGAAATCATGTAGTATTTGTCCTTTGTTTTCTTTGTTTTGTTTTTGTTCTTTGGCCACGCTGCGAGGCGTTCGGGATCTTAGTTCCCCAACCAGGGATCAAACCCGTGCCCCTTGCAGTGGAAGTGCGGAGTCTTAACCACTGGACCACCAAGGGAGTCCCAGTATTTGTCCTTTGTGACTGTCTTACTTCACTTGGCATCATGCCCTCAAGGTGCATCAATCTTGTATGTCTTAGTCCGTTCAGGCTGCTATAACAAAATACCACAGACTGGGTAACTTACAAACAATAGAAATGTATTTCTCAGAGTTAAGTCCAAGATCAGGGTTACACTAGGGTTGGGTTCAGGTGAAGGCCCTCTTCTAGGTTGCAGATTGCCAGCTTCCTGTAGTATCGTCACATGGTGAAGGGGGCAGGGGAGCTCTCTCAGTCCTCTTTTTTTTTTGGCCGCGTTGGGTCTTCATTGCTGTGCGTGGGATTTCTCTAGTTGCAGCGAGCAGGGGCTACTCTTCGTTGTGGTGCACTGGCTTCTCCTTGCGGGGGCTTCTCTTGTTGCGGAGCACGGGCTCTAGGTACATGGGCTTCAGTAGTTGTGGCTCATGGGCTCAGTAGTTGTGGCTTGCAGGCCCTAGAGCACAGGCTCAGTAGTTGTGGCGCACTGGCTTAGTTGCTCCACAGCATGTGGGATCTTCCTGGACCAGGGATTGAACCCATGTCCCCTGCATTGGCAGGTGGATTCTTAATCACTGCGCCACCAGGGAAGTCCCAGACCTGTTTTATGAAAGGCATTAATCTCATCCATGAGGGCTCTGCTGTCATGACCTACTCCCCTCCCAAAGGTCTTTGGGCATCAGCATTTCACTGTATGAATTTTGGGGGGATACAAACGTCTAGCCTATAGCACTGAAGCATGTGACAAGATTTCCTTCCTTTTTAAGATCTCCATTGTACGTATACATCACATTTTGTTTTTCCACTCATCCACTGATGGACTCTGGGTTGCTTCTACCCCTTGTCTGTTGTGAATAGCCATGCTATGAACATGAGTTTGCAAATATCTCTTCAAGATCCTGTTTTCAGTTCTTGGGGGTATGTACTGCCTTATATGGTAGTTCTGCTGTTAATTTTTTGAGGAACTGCTGTACCGTTTTCCATAGTGGTTACACCATTTTATAAACCCATCAGTAGTGTACAAGAGTTCTAACTTCTCCACATCCCTGCCAACACTTGTTATTTTCTGTTTTTGTTTTGTTTTGAGAGTAGCCATGCTAATGGGCATGAGGTGATATCTCACTGTGGCTTTGATTTGCATTTCTTTGATGATCAGTGTTGTTGAGCTTGTATATAATCTTCGGAGAAATGTCTATTCAAGTCCTTTGCCCAGTTTTCAATTGGGTTATTTGGCTTTTTGCTGTTGAGTTGTAAGAGTTCTTTGTATATTCTGAATACTAACCTCTTATCAGATATGTATTTTGCAGGTATTTTCTCCCATTCTTAGGTTGCCTTTCACTCTGTTGATTATATCTTTTGATGAACAAGAGTTTTTAAGTTTTAATGTAGTCCCATTTGTCTGTCTTTGTTGCCTGTGCTTTTGAAGTCATATCCAGGAAATCATTACTTG